TAGTGTCATAACCTGCAGAACAATCATCAAACAGAATAAACCATTACCATTGGAATTGCTTTGAACATTATTTTATGAGTGGTGTTTTGCATTAAAATCATCAATAGTTAAGAATTTAGACCTATAACGGGGTCACCCTTGTTAAAAATCTTTTGCTGACCTTCGCATTGGAATGGCAATAGGCAGTAATTAAAGAAAGTTGTCCAAATTTTGTATCGACAGTAGTATTTCGAAATCTTTGATTTCAGATGAAGAAAGAATTTGATGTTTGATACGTCTATGAATAATGATAGCAACGCTACCACCGGCTCCATTAAGATTTATAATTATAAGTTGCATTTCTTTTAACCTTATGGTTAGGTTTAAGGAACGTTTCAGTGATAACGCTGACATGCACCTTATGAACTCTCAAAAGGATAAATAGCTTGTCTTCATTATCTTTACGTGATCCAGCATTCCAAATAAAAATATTTAATGTTTTAAAATCAATTAATGATTTTCATAGTCATGACTATGTTTTTAGTAAATTTTACTCCTGTTTGAATAGCATCAAACATGGAATTAGTTTTCAGCATATCAATGATTTCTGTAAAACAAGCATTAATGCAACTGAAGAAAAAATCATCAAAATTTCGATTAGAATAATGTTAGCTAGAATTTTGATTTCTACCAGCTGCAATAGCAGCATAGGTAGCGCCATTTATTTGCTGAACATTGTAAGCAGCAGGTATAGATAAAAAAAATTGAAGCTTGTGAGCTGTTTGAGCCCGTTGCGCGAATTTCCAGGACAGGATTTCATTTTCATTTCGAATGCTCCAAGTAATTTTTTCAAAATATCTTTGCCCTGTACTTTGACTATTACTTCTGCGTGAAGTCGACGATTTACATAGTTGAAGATGCTAATTTCAAATAACAGACTAAAGTGGTAATTTTTATACGATAGATGAGGAGGAGATGAAGGTAAAGAATTGATAGTTCCGTTTAGGGTACGGCAGTGTGAAATTGTATATATATAGAGAGTAGACAGCGAGCTAGGACAAAATCTTTGCCCTATTCAGGAATTCACCACTGAGCAGCCCTTTCAAGACAATCTTGAACAGACGTTCGGTTTTGGTGTAGTAAGTGAAAAATTGGTGTTGCTTCTCAGTAAGAAACTTGCGAAGCCATTTGAATCCGTCGAAGGTTTCAGCCAATACACAGTAGTCACCCCGACGACCAATTTGAAGTGAAATCTTAAATTTAACGAAGTTCAAAAGTTCAAAAGAAAATCGGAAGCTGTTATCACCTTTTATCACAATAAGGGGGATGTTTACCATATTGGCATTAAGCCGAGAATGTTTAATGGAAATTGCCTGCATGATGGATTATTCTCGTCATCCGTGAGCATATCAAATTAATTGCTCAAATAAATATTAATAATAAGAGGGACCAATAGATTACCCTTTTCTTTTGCGTTAAGGCGCCAAGGCGAAAGTGTCTCCAAATCGACTTCCAAGCAGATTACTAGCAGAATCCAAAAGATCGAAGAGGAATTTTCTAAATCGGAATCCTAGCAGGATTACCTCGAGTAGAGTCCAAAGTATCGAAGAGGAATAAAAATCGAACAAGGTTCTCAGAAGGAGATTCCCAATCTTGGCTGTGGTACACTTATCTTGCTAGAATGAAAAGGTGTATAAAACTGCCAAAAGAACCAACAAACTGGAAATACAAACAAGGTACACACAGTCATTGTTGTAAAGGTTCGCCTCCTTTAGGAAGGTGATGAGGGCGGCTGCTGGTGGGGACTCGTCGTCCAACAGGTTCCGAATGCTGATTGACTCCAAGCCGAAGGCAGCCCGAAGGTCCTCTAGCTCCGCGCAGTTCACGAGGATGTGCTCCATGGTGGCTGACACTCCGCAGGTTTCGCAGGTCCTGCGGAACGGTGTTCTTCCGAAGTTGTGGGAGACTCTGCTGTGCCCGGTGCTCAGCCTTGACACCACCTGTTATTCTCTTAGGTTTGGTCGACCCTTCAAGGTTCCGATGATCGCTTTGGTCATCCGAAGGTGGTGTGTCCTGTTGTTCCTCCACTCAGTGTCCCAGACTTTCCAAACCATCCGCTTGATCCACTTTTTGACATCTTGGATCGGTACATTGTCGGTGGACCTGGGTCCAGTGTGGCCTGAGCCGACGTGGTGGTCGGCTGTTACGTTCCCTTGGATCGCACAGTGCGCATGCTTTACCGTCCCTTGGATCCACGGATACTTCGGTGTTTCTGTTGTTAGGGCCAATATCACGCTGTGTGAGTCAGTTACGACTTATATCGGCCGGTTGGCGGGAAACTTAACCGCGTGGAGAATGGCCGCTGCCTCAGCTGAGAACACCGGGCATTAGGTCGGAAGCGATCTGCTCACAAGCAGACAATCTCCGGAGACCCCGTTCCCACTCCGCTCCTCGAGAGAGAGCCGTCGGTGTACCTAACTTCATAACCTTGGTAGTGCGTCCCGAGCGTTTCGACAACTGTCCGGTGTAAAGCCAGCGAGTTGTCTGCTGCCCTGAATCGGTCCTTGATTCGGCTGTCAATTTTGTTCTTGTGCGATTGCCAACATTTGTCTCCGTGCCAGTGGATCCTGACCATTGGAGGGAGATCGACGTCGGCGGCCGTGCGGGGGAGTCGGTTCGCCTCGTCGAGGAGAACAATCCTGTTGTTTCCCGACGTTTTAGCTAGAAAGGCAGCGGCTTTGGTAGCAGTAGCTGCGGTGAAAACGAGTTAAAAAGGTAGTATACCGGCTTTAGTTATTCATTGATTTCAAAGCCGATAGCTTTCTGATATGATTAATCGGTTGCTTTTTAGGCAACACTGCATCTTGCACTTATGACATATAAGCCTGGATTTTTGGAATATTCTTTACCCCATTTACACTAATGTTGCCTGCTTCCAAAGATGTCCGATTATCAAGATATCCATGTGGGCAGTTTTGTCACACAAATCACAGGTGACATATCTTTTCCCTAGCGGATAAACGATGAACTGCAGATGGAATCTATCTCAGTATGCTGGTAGACGATGTAATATTTTTTTTTGTTTATTAATTAATTCGGACAGAAACATATGTTGGAAGAGCAAATTAAGCCATACGGGTTTAAAAAACGTGAAAATTACAAGGAACTATTTGCAAAGCTGATCGAAAAATTAGGCAAGTCGATTAAAACTAAATTGTAATTTGTGATACAGGAAGATGCAGGTAATACTGCAATTACATTGTCCATCACCTTTGGGGTTAGCAAGTTTAATTTTAACAGAGGTGTAACCTTTCGATCTGGTTTACTTTCTAGCTTCTATGAGCTAATCGTAATTATTCGCTTATTTGGCTCAAGCCTTGAAGGTTCTCACATTTATTTTACGCAAACCCTGACAGTTAACAGTCTTATATATGCTCAAAACTATTGTATTGTATTTTGGTCCGCAGTATTGGCAGTATCCATGTAGGCTTAATATATCTCACAATGTTGGAAAATGGACGGAAAAATACATTTAATTGTGTACCACTGAAATTGACTAAAACAAAAATATAGTTCATATCATTAATGTAGGAAAACAACATGGAAATGGTTTCAACCCGCGGAGAATACAGGAAGTTTGGGTTTTTTGCTTTTCCTTCCTAAAAAAATTACCTTGAGAATAAAAATGTAAAAAAAAATTGTTACTTCCTGTATTCTCCCAAGGATTAAACTATTTCCAGTCGATTTCGCAAATTGTTTGCCGTCAGAAATGATATGAAAAAAATATGCATAAATCTAGATAGAGCTGGAATTAGGGCGTAATAGCTTTTGTAAACAATGACTTATCTAGATGATTTCTCGAAATTCATGATTCTCGCTGGTGGTGGTTTGTAAAGGCGTGTCTTGATTTCCTAGAAATAAACGAGAGAAGTTATTATTTACAAAGGCTGTTACGACCTAAATCCAGCTCTATCTAGAAGTATGCAACTTACTTCTCGCAATGAAACCAAATCGATTTTAAAGTTTGCAGTTCGTATCATAATGAAAACTAATTTTAATTTCAACTGTCGCGACAGAAGTCTGATATCATATTGTGCCTTCATTATGCAGCCAAGACTTTTTAAATGAGAGCAACTTAACTTGAAGTTCTGTTGCTAACGTCTTGTTTAAAATTTAATTTAAGTTCATCTGTCGTTGAACTAACGATTAGGCTCGTATTCAATTAAACATTTTGAATGCAAAATCAATAATCAAATTGATTTAATTGAAAGCAGGATTAGTTTTTCGTTTGATTCCACAGTGTAACATTTTGCTCTCATTTATGGCTGTGTCAACTGTTAAGTCAACCAAAATGAGATCAACTGGAGTATTCAAAATAAGTTACATCATAACAGCAAATTTTGATCTCAATTTGATCTGCAGCTGTACTCACTCACTCACTTAGCACTCATTTTCACCCATCCACTTTTCACACCCAGGCGAATCATTCACTTACCAACACACCCATAATCTCATTCTCTTACTTTTCCTTTACTATTATATTCTCAGTCGATCCACAAGATAATTAAGAAGATTAGCGCCACGGACAAACTTTCGCTTTTATATATTAGAAGAAGATTGTGCAAATGACGACAGTGACGAATACAGCTAGTTACATGCTAGTATCTGTATTTTGGTAACGGAACATCACTCGGTATCACCGGTAAAGTCGAGATCGATATTACCGGTACAACAACCCTAGATACGCCAATGGCAACACATCTCTGTTATGGTATGAGATGGATCAGGACAAAAATAAGAGTATAATTGACTTCAATGCATAAGTTTAATATAATTTTAATTATTCACGGTACCACCATTATCGCCATTGTTATTGCGTTCATATGCAGCACTATTTGATTAAAAGCTTCATTATTACGCTTGGGAGCAGCGAAATATTAATTTAATTCATGATATGCAAATCGTTGTTTGGGGCAAAGAGCACACAGCCAATTTAATGCATTTCATTCGACTATTTGCAGATCACAAAAATCGACCATCACCGGGGTCCGGTCACGGCCATCCACGTGGCCATGCCAAGCGAGGTGCTGGTTTCTTCCAGCCACGATGCCACAGTGTGTTTATGGTCCCTGGACAATTTCACCCTACTGAACTGCATCCAGTTAGCTCATCCGGTGCTTAACTTTCAAATATCCTGTGATTCGGTAAGAAACATCGTAAATTTATACACTTTTCTCCCGACAAACCAACAAAAAAAGAGTTTGAACTTGTCTGGACTTTTCTGATGTATTTCTTTACCAATGTGACACTTTTTTTCTCTTCTGTTCCTGCAGATATTTCTACTGGCGTATTGTGATGACAATGGTCTTTACCTGCGAGCTCTCGCAACGGGCACCGAGCTGCACGCTTTAAAAGGACACAAATCGAAGGTAAGCTTCTTACGGAAAATCTAATCCCGTAAACGGAAATTACTCAAAAGAAGGCAATCGGATGGGGGAAATGGAACTGAGGAGTAAATGGGGATGTAGAAGCGAATATCAAAGAAAAGTCAAACGATAAGGTTTTTCTCTTTCTATCTTTCGTTGTGAGGGTCAAAAGACGACAACGACGATGTTGAATTATGAAGCAATTTTGTTCGGCCCCTTTTCATTGTTTAGTATGATAGGCAGGAGAAAACAGAATAAGTCCTTGAAGGACAACAGGTTCCAAATACCGCAAGGCTATAAACGTTCATTCGATTAGGAAATGTAAACAAAATGAAACTCCCAAGAAACTAATGTTTCGATGACCGGCACAACTGAGAAGCTTTAAGAAACTTGTATTTCATAATAAATTGGGTGCCCTGGTGTGGTATAATAGGGGAAGAAAGTCTAAAATGCGCAGAAGGGCAAGACGCCAGATGTGGTTTTTCAAAGCATTCCCGTTTTAATTCATGAACTTTAATCGTAGCATTGGTAGTTCAGTACTTAAACACAACAAATTCCAGAATTAGAAATGGTGAAGATATGAAAACCCAAATTGGATGTTTTGTCCGGGGTGCATTTTGGCATATTCTACCCTACATGTATGATCCTTTACGACTCCGACAGTGTTCTTTTTCTAGTGTTTAGAATAATAAGAACGTAACTGCTTTTGTTAATCAAAAATCATTCATCTTCTTTCGATTGCAATCGCGTTTTTGTCATACAATGAAAACGACAGAGGGATATGGGAGTCGGAGTGCAATAGGCTATCTCAGCTGTCACTGGTTTACACCGTTTTTTATACGTGTAGAAGAATTATTTAAAAAAGGGGGGGAAATGTACCAACTGGCAAACGCAGTATTAAAACACATAATCTGATGCCAAATGCTATTTTTCAACAAGGTAGGATCAATATACGGGGTTGAACTACATTTAATGAATTCAATCTGGAAAGATGCAAAATGCCTCAAGCTCTATTAAATCTACGTGCTCTAATTTAGACCCCTTTTTCATTTGACATGTTTGACTACGTCTTACGGGAAGGTACTGGGGGTAATTCAAAAATCTAAAATTGCGACCGTCACGAAAAGGTGTAAGGTTTTGAACGCTTATTGCTTTGTCATTTATAGATGAAATAAAAATCCAAATACACCATTCGATAGGAAATAACTTGCTAAAATAAATACTTTTTCAATTTTCTCAACAAAATCATTGAAAAATATAAAAATAAGAAGTAATAATTGTATCACTATTTCAATTAAATAAACGTTCTCCCCAAACCAAGTAGTCATAATCGAGTACCATTTGGTTGCGCATCGTTTTGCTTGAACCTGTTAAACTATATAAGAGCTCTGCTGTCGTTCCTCCGCTCATTAAAGATTCGGACGGCGTGGCAAGCAGAAGCAGGAGCAAATCAGGAAAAGGTGGAGTTTTTCCCTCTGCCTCTGCTGAACATTATCAAAGTCAGGCTAGAGCGCTGCTGTTGTGAATCCGCTCATTTTCGCATCGGACGGATGGTAAAATAGCAGCAGTCAGCGTAATCACCTTGATGACAGCCAACGATGGGGTGGAGAGGATGTGGAAATTTTTGGAGATCGAAAAATTGGTCCTTTTCACGCCCTAGTCATACAAAAACGGTGGGAAATCCTGTCAGGGACGGGGCTTAGAAAGTAGTTTTTGTACAGAATATATAAAAAGGAGGGAGTTCGAATAGTGTATATACATTACATATGCATTACTGTAAGAACTGTCAAAATCCTATAAATTTACACACTAGTGTTCGTGAGATTCTGCTTGGCAAACTGAATTTATTAATGTATGGCCGTCCCCGTGTTGAAGTGGGATCCAGAGGGACGGTAAAAATTCATTTACATCTTTAAGTAGAGCTTTAAATTGTTGTTTGTTACAAAATTCAGGCAACAAGTGGATTAGCGAGTTTCTGGGTTGTGCTGTGCTTAGTTCGGTCCAACAAAAATTAAACCTCTAAAAATGGTTTGGAACGTCTCTGTGTAAACACAAGAATGGCAATTGTAATTGTAATTGTTCAGTGCATAGGCTGTGCCTTCCGCTAAGAAGGCTTATCTAGGGACCAACCCCCTAGTCTATACACCTACTGTCCTTCCCGTTGCACTCGTCAGCTCGTGCGATACTCTAGACACACATGGGTGGTCGTATCTTGGTCGTCCCCTGGGTAGGCTCGTGTCCGTCCAGGTTCTGGTACATTAACTTATCTATATGCATGGTAATTATACTTTTAAAACTCACCTTTTGATTATAATGTCGAAAATGCTGAAAATAAATAAAGGTTAGCGATCCATATAAGGTGTGTGCTGCGACGGAGTAGTAATTGAAGGAAATGAGGTTCTGATGTGAAGTGTAGGTAATTCTAAAATAGGTAAATCAATTAATCATTAGCTGCTAACAGTTACTAATAAATGGGTACGATAAATCACTCATCAATGAGTATTGCCACTCCCACTGAAAAATGGGCAAAACCTTAATCATAAATGGATATTCGATTCCTACCGTGTATTTAAAGTAAAGTTAGGATCTTATCAAGCAAGCACACACCTTTTACGATTCTTATCCTACTTACGGTTTCCTGCACATACGACTTTTCCTAGATACAAGCTTCGTCCAGTATACATAGGCTGTCTCCAACCGGCATGATCCTTTCTGTCTGCATCCTCTTGCCGGTGCAAGTTTAATTCTTCTTTTCTTGTTCGAATTTTCTCGCTACTTTTCTCCTATTGAACTTCTGGTCGTGTTCCCATTTGCCCTCAGGCAGTTAATATTAGTACATGATAGGAAGAAAGAAAGAAATAGAACAAGTTAAGTGTGAGCCGCATGCACTGGTTACTTATTTGGGTCATGGTGTTGTCTTCCCTATTTATTTGCCTCTATTCGCTCTCATATCGCAACGTTAAACTCTGGATCAACAATAGAAAAGGGCCCATCAGCATTTGCAAACAAACCGCCCCAAAGCCCCCCACTCACAAAGCGAAGGCCACCCACGCAAACCAACACCATCATCGGATAGGGGAAACTTCCACCTAAACGAAGATGGTGTTGGTCTGCGCGAGCAGCCTCCGATTCGTGAGGAATGGGTCTTGGAACGGCCTGCCCTCAAATGCCGATGGGCCCCCCTCCATTGTTGATCCAAAACTCACCCCCTTCCCTCACACTATTATGGTCGGAAAAGAGAACCCATATTTAGTAATCTATCGCGAACTGCGATGCAGAAGATATTAATAGCAAACTAATCTGGAACTGGTCTAAGACATATGACCCAGTGAGTATTGACACCTCACACTGTTGTGAATGAGCACGGACGTGAGATTTACTAGAGTATTAAATGCAAAACGCAAATTCAAAATAGACTTGACAAGTCATCGTCAATCCCCTTATTCTTGGGCAGGGTCTGACGATGTGAATCTGATTTTGTTCAGTGAACGGGCTCCATATGGTACATTTTCTCACTATGAACATGTCATTTCCAGCCTATCTGAACTATTTAATAAATGGAAACCATAACATGGGTTACGCTTCCCCTAAGCGGGCCCTCCGCATCCTATCTCTGTCTTATCTCAAATGCAAATGGTTTGAATGCATCAATATATACATTGGAAATGACGTTCAATCAAATAAACCCATACCCCACTCACTTGACCAGGCTTCAGAATCGTCCAGTGGGCAGTGCGCTCTACACTCCAAGTTTCCTTTCTTTCAAATTCATCCCAAATTTGATATTTTACCCCTTTGAGTGTTGATTAATCACAATGAAACATTGTGACAGAGCACGGACTTGAGGTTACTAGAGTATTAAATAATCTAGGTCCTATTTAGGATTATATCTGAAAAATCCAAATTTGGCCAACGCCCACCGTTAACACAAGAATGGCAAAAGGATAAAAGTTAGATTTCTGAATGCGTGTAGTTCTAGTTCCCCATCAGCAGGACCACTTGGATGAACGAGTTTTTGATTGCTTCAAGTAGCAAATTATGATTAAATATTGAACATGGACCAAACTTTCTAATTTTATGAAAGCACAACTCTGAATATCAAATTTTCGATTATACTGATGGAAAAAAGTGAGGGGGCAATCTCATTGGCTGGCCTGCTTAGTAGTAATAATCCGACTAATAATGAGTCATAGCCCTGTATTAGTCGTATGTTAGCTTTATATAACAAAATCAGTCCAAATTAGCGGGCCTATTGGTTGCCTCCCAAGTAACAATTTGGATTTTATGAGGGTACTGTAGACCATGAATTAGACTTGTAGAGTGCTTTACAACCGTAATAAAACTTGCAATGTTACTTGGGCTAGGATGTGCAATACATCCCAAGTAACATTTTATGTTTTATGTAATACTACAAAGCAACTATAAAACAACATTCATAAAACCCTGGTTAAGGCTATTTTGTCATTAATGCATCCACCAAAACCTCATTAAGACTAGAAAATGTCTAGTTGGCCCACCCTGGAGAAGGTTCTGAAGGGTGTATTCTCGAAGCTCTTCAAGATTGATTTACTGCAAAAGGTTGTATGGCGAACGTATTGAGAACCATTTAAAAGCTACAATGAAAGCTATTTAGCAACAATAAAAACCCTTTCCGAGCCATTTCCCCTAGCCGCATGCTGAATCCACTAGGAAAGCATCAATCAAGATAGAAAAGGATTTATGAATCCGATCTTATCAAAATAATTAAAATCATCAGTTTCAAAAAGCAAAAGCATACAAATCTTGTTGAATATCCGAATTTATTACAATATTTCTCATTAAGTGGCCTAGTCTTGTTGAAATGTACGTGAAAACATCGAAAAAATTAAGTCTACCCTCGTTAAACGTCGATTTGACTAATTATTTAACATTGAAAAAAAAAATACATTCTTCAGATCGAGCTTGGTCGAGACCTTTTTTTATTATTTTCGCATTTATATGTTTGCTCATTGCTAAATTTAACG